CCAGAAATATCTTGCTCAAATATTTGACAGAGGGTCAGGCTTTGGCTTGACTTTGGGACTTGAACCTATATGGGATACGATATGCATAGTAAAGACCAACTTTATTTATTCATATTGGATTCAATTTCAAAGGCAAGGGCTGTGATTACCAATTAATGATTTTTCCACAAGTCACATGATAATCACATATTTATAATAAATGATAAATCACCAGTTCGAGGCCTTTACTTGCCATTGTATGCAAAAATTCTTGGCTATTGTAATATAAAGCTTTTATTTCTATTCCTTATTTTTTAAACAATAAAGAGAGGATCCTTTGAAAACCATGGATTCAATTTAGGTTTAAGTATTGACATGCTGTTAACATTGTATTAATATGTTAGTTCGTTATATTTTTATCATGCGCTTATTGTTACTTGTCTATCATTAATGGTTTGTTTTATTAGATTTTTATTCTGCGTTTTTTATTAATAGAATGACCGTTTCGTTAGATTTTTATTTTTTGTCACAAACTGAAGTTTGATGATAAGAATTTTTATATAAGGTTTATCGTTTCTATAAATACAAAATAAAAATTTTAAAGATAAAAAAATAATCTTCAAATCCTTATAAACATGGAAAATGAACAAATGGTCAGCGTTAATGATGTTTATGAACTCACTCATGATTGAGTATAAAAAGTCAGAAAATGAAAGCGAATATGTCTCTAAAAGAAAAGATATCTGTTACAACGCAGGTACAGTGGTACTCAAAATTATTTGAAATTTTTTGATAATCATTTGCGCAATAGCCAATAATTTAATAACTACGTAATACAATTTATTTAATTTGTAAGAATCACGAAATTAAATGACAGATATTGTTAATAGTTTATTCTTTCACCATTTGTATCAAATATCACCCTACATTTCTCTTGCATCGAATTGATCAAATTTTTATAGGTATTCTTTGGAACCTTCCCCCATTCTTCGATCATAAACATTTGTAACTCATCTAAATTTTTTGGTTTTTTTTTCTCCACATTTTTTTTTATAATTCCCATAAATTTTCGATGGGGTTAAGGTCCGGGCTGTTCGATGGCCAGTTGATAACACAAGGAACTGTTTTATTGAGAAAATCCTTGGCTAGGCGGCTTGTGTGCTTAGGATCGTTATCCTGCTGAAACTGCCAATCGTCGCCCATCATTTTTTTAATCTTCAAAAGTTGGTTTTTTAGGATTTCGACATAGAACGAGGCATTCATCTTTCCTACAAAACAATAAATACTAGTTTTACCCTGCAGGCTAAATGCATCCCAAACATGAATTTTTTGTTGGTTCTTAGAGATGCGACAGACGGGATGACTGTTTTTGTATCACTGAGTGATTGTGTTCCTAAACAGTTGGAATGAAGTTTCATCAGAAAAAAAAGTGCAGGACCAATCATCGTCAATATGTTCTTGAGCCCATTTAACCTGTTTCTCTTTATGCTTCTTTATGAGCATAAATGTTGCGAGGGGGAGGGAATTCTTGTAACCATTGGTGCAAAAATGCCTTCAAACCATTTTTCTTCCAAGTATTATGCCCTTTTCTGAAAGTTTACTTATCAATTCACCCATTGATATTATAGGAATTTGCCTGATAAATTGACCGATTGCACGTATTACACTTGAATTAACTTTTCTTGGATGACCTGCGCCCCTTCGTTGTGCCACATTATCGATCTCTTTTAATTTTTTTAGGTTGTAATATATTGTAGAGAGGCCAATGTTATGCCACTGAATTTCTCTCGCAGAGCGAATTTCTTTACTCCATAAAAAACAAATAGCTTCGCACTGCTGGTTTTTTGTTGAAGAGGTCATTTTATGCTATTATTTCTCGCAGAATACATTATATACAAGAGAGGGTGGGAATGGGCAGGTTATTGTGAGATAAATAAAGTATGATTACACGTGTCAAAAATTCGCTTACCTTTTGTAGTTACGAAATTACGTTTGATAATCATCACTTTAAAAAATTCCAAATAATTTTGAATACTACTGTATATATGAATATGATGATCAGGAGTTAAGCTGTCTCATTATCCAATATAACGAGTGCTTTAACCTTAATGAATCAAACTTTCTTGCGAATACTATGTGTCATTTGAATCTTTTATGTATGAAAGAATTAATATGCGACAATGAAAGGATGATAAAAGAGAAAATTAGGCATTTCAAAAGAGTCAGTATGAAATTTTCCGATCTTTATGATATGATGTCTGAAATAGAATTTATACAAGGGAGAAATGAAGTCCTCCTGTATGAGATTGACATTGTATGGGGAGTTATGCTTAGTGATTGTGTGAGCTTAAAGCAAAATATTTATTTTCAAAACAGATGGATGGTTGTAAAGTTTGTAAGTGAAGATAATAGAATAGAAAGTTTCATTAACAAATATAATAGAGTAGAGAATGAAATGCAGGAATAGTATTTGCTTTGTATGGATAAAATTTTATAGAATGAAATTAACGAAAAAGCTTTTATTTTCCTTAAATTATATTTATAAAGATTTACACTAAAGTAAAATACGATTATCTATAATCCCATATAATATCATAATATATATTAATAAAAACATTTTGCTATTTTTTTTAGTGAATCAATTTATTGATTAACTCATTAACTTCACTTTCATTTCCTTCGTCAATTTCTTTATCAATTTTTTCAATTCGTCATTTTTTCGAGGAAAAATCATATTCTTTGAGGTCACTCAGGTACCTTCGATAGTCAAAACCAGTTAGTGCTCGATTAATATTTGTATCGAGAGGTGCTTTATGTATTTCAGTGGGATTATACTGTTCAAAAATAATTTTTTTATTTTGTGTAATATCCCTTTGTGCGAGTGTTATAGTGATGTCTCCTGTAAACTGTTCATTTTTTAACTCAGAGATCTGATTGCGTAGGTTTTCCATGTGTTCGTTGATAATATTTCGAAGATAAGAAGGGGTAATATCGGGTGTGTTTGCTAGACATCTTTATCCGACAGTTAGAATTAATTTATATGCACGTCGAGCATCTATCATTTCGTTAGAAAGTGATATTGTCCTCTCTTCTTCTGGTAATTCTCCTATCAAGATCTCGTAAGCTTGGGCACTGACTCATTCTCCTCTTCTAAAAGCTCTGTTTATAAGTGTAACATCGGAGTTATAGATTCTTTCCCTCTCTTCAATGAACTCAGGTTGGATAAAAACAGTGGATTTTTTATGGCCTCTTGTTTTGTTTTTTTCGACCCAAGCTATAATTTCATTGAATACCTCCACTAGTTTGAACCATACACAGAAATGCATAAAACGATAGATGTTTGATTCTCGATCGATTTTGCGCAGCTTCCGGAATATATTACGAATTCTAATTTTAAATCCAGGACCATCTTCAAATTCTTCATTTGGTACATCAGTAATATATTTTGCAACTTCTTTATATCCGGCTTCAATCCAAAGTCAAACATCGTTCCAATTTTGAGAAGGTGAATGAGTAATATATTTAATATCTAGGGGGAGAGAAAAACTATTTCTCTCCGTTACTTCCAATAACATGCTTGCCATGTTAGCCTTTTTTTTTTTTGATGATTTAGCATTAGGTTTTGTGAACAGAGTATTAAATTGCGATGAATATTTAATCTGCATCGTGGCTTTCCTTTTTTCTAATGATCTAGCACTAAGTTGAGTTGGGGGAGGTGTGGATGGGGCACTAGATTCTGATGTTTCTTCTTCATTCTGCACCGTGGCTTTTCTCTTTTCCAATGATTTAACACTAGGTTGCATTAGGGTAGGTGTGGGTGAAGCATTTGATTCCAAAGATGTTTCTTCTTCAATCTGCATCATATCCTTTCTTTTCTCCAATGTTATAGGCAGTTTAGGAGTTGTTTCATATGACTGCGAAGTAGGTAATAATGTAACGCTAGATGTTAAAGTTCTTATTTAATTTGGTGGTGTTGATGGCATGACTGCATTCGATTCCGATATTAGTGTCTGAGTTAGCAGTGTGTACGAACTACCATGTTCTAAAATTCGAGTCAGCTGTATGGATTGTAACATAGATTTTGGAGTTTTTTCTTTAGCATGTGACAAGATAATTATTTCTGCTATACCAGGTTCGGAAATTTGTATTCCATTCAACGGCTTTATTAATTTCGTGGTTTCTTCTTAAGTATTTTCATCCTCTGAAGCATCTTTGATAAAAATAGGCTCATTTTCATTTGATCCAATGAGTACCTTTCTAATTTCATTAAAATCTGCAGTTTTTATAAGCACTACGGACGGTGCGTCAAGATTCGTGGTAACGATATCATGATTATTTAATGTGGTAGTTGCCTGTCATTTTAAATTGTCAAAAGCAATTGATAAAACCTTTCTGTTGGTCGCTTTCCAAATATGATTTATCGATTGTTCAATAATTATTTCTTTATCTTCTATTGTTTAAACTAAGTTTCTTTCTGGCATTTTATTAGAAGTTTTTGAGGATTGGTTTATTAAAATTTTATAAGTCGTAAGCGTATTTATATTGGATATAAATTGAAAGTTTAAAGTTAATAATGTAACATTCAAAGTTAAAATATATAAATGGTTGATGTCATGCTGAAGACTTTATTACGCGTTAAATCATGAATCATATTTTAATAATACGAAGTCATCGTAATCAACGTGCAAATTCATCGATATCGATTAAAAGCATATTAAATATAAGCGTGAGTTAAAATATATGTAAATGGTTGATGTCATGCTGATTTTATTACATGTTAAATAATGAATCATACGAAGTATTTTAAGTATATTAAATCAAAACGTGAGTTAAATATTTGAAGGGATTTACGTACATGCACGTACAGTATATTAAATCGAAATCAAATTTTAACGCGCCTGTCACGTGATCTTATTTTATCTGCAAACAATTCTCTGATTAATTCTTCATAATTCTTTTAAGATTAATTATTTGAAAAAATAACATAGAAAGTTGCGAAAGATTTCTGTAAGTAAACTATTAAGATTCCAATAATTTTATTATGTCATATAAATTTTGACTATTAATATTAAAGTCATCTTCTAAAATATTGTCCTTTGTTTGAAATTTTTTACAGCTGTTTTCAGAAACATAATTTTCTTTACAACCTTTATGCAGTAAATTCCATTTTCGTTTCAATTGATCATTATTACATTGACGTCCAATAATATGAGGGATTTCATATCCATTTTCGCGATTTGACTCCGATGGTTCACAATCTTTTTCATGATTACGTATTGCAGAAAATATATTTGATAATTTGCAAGAATCAACGGATTTATTCGGGCTCTGTAAGGCCGGAATAAATGAGTCATTAAAGTTTGATGTCTGATGTTCAAATTCCTGCAATAAAACGTCATCGGTTGAGGTGACTTTTTCTTTCTTTGAGTCATTTTCGTTTTGAAAAAGATTTAATTGTAAAAAATATTTTTGGGGGATTAATAATGGAATGTATCCATCTGGTAATCGTAAGTAAGTTCCAAAATCCATTTTAGATAAAAATATGAGGTTAGCGATCAGTCAACTTTATATATATATATATTAACTTTGATAATTGATGTTGAAAAATTAAATTGGCGTAAGGTTATATTGACAAATTATAAATAATTCAAATATAATTCGGGAAAAAAAAAATAAAAAAATAAAAAAAAAAGAATTGATTATCTATAACTTTATTCATAATTAACAATTATTATATTTATTAATAACATTGGTTATTTCGCGCCATCTTTAAATTCCGACACATTCTTCGACACATTTTTCGTTTGGCCTTAGTAAGATCTAACTGTTTATATTTACTGCTGAATGTCTTTGAATTTTACTTTGTTAATAATACCGAAAGATACAATCTCATGAAATAGAAATTAATTCATAACATGAATAAATGCGACCAAAAATTGACAAATAAAAACTCCACAACTTTATTATATACTTTAATTGTAAAATATTGTACACATTTGTTGTTACATTAATTGATAAATATGTTATTTACGCAATTGATCAATTGTTTCAATTGTTTATTGATAGTATAACTTAAGACATACGATGAATAATACACAAAGAAATAATAGAAATCAAGTATTTGGTAGCCGAAAAATAATAAAAATGAAGTATATATAAGTAACAAAAAAAAAAAAGAATAACAATAATTTAGAAAAATAAATGGATTATACAGAACCAGATAAATCAACGTCTAAGAGTGATGCAACGAGTTCAGATAAAAGTGATGAAATTAGCCGACTATTAGAGCTTAATGCGCTTGATATTAATAATACAAATTCTGATAGTACCTTCAATGAAAATAAAATTAATACAAAAAACCAGAAAATTCTAGAAAATTACTCATTTGAGAATGATTCTAACGCGTTTAACAATACTGTCTCTCAAGATAGCAGCTTCAGCTAAAACAAAACTAATATAATTCTAGAAAGCGACGTACTAAAGGAGAATCAAAATAATAGTACAAGTGCCACGGCTTCTAAGGTTAAAGTACATCCTATTAGAAAAAATTTTAACTCCCGAAAAAAAAAAAACCAATATAGATTATGAAATGGTAATCTCTGATGATGATGAGAGTAAAGAAAGTAGGGAGCAATCAATACCTAACGTGTTTGAAACTGATAGCACAGAATCTTCTGATAATAATTCAAAAGAAAACAGAACTGAAAATATCGAGAATCAGGAAATTTTAGAGAATGACATCGATGAGGAAAGAAAATTAAATGACATATCAAGTATACAGATTCCTCAAAAAACAGATTTTAATATAAAAGATCAAAAAATTGAAAATAACAATTTAAAAATAAACCTCAAAAGCTTTCCTGATGATAACTTGAAAGGATATGAGGCTAAAGACAAATTTTATGTAAAAAAAAAACTTTCAGAAAGTAGCGTGGTCGAAGAAAATTCAAATGTATCATCTTGAGTAATCGATGCACCTGTAGTGGCAGCGAGATTTTCAAACAAAAGTGTTTGAGAATAACAGCACAGGCTCTGCTGATAGTAACTCGAAAGAATTAGAAAATCATTTTAGAGATAAGAAAATTTATAATAACGCAGTGAATTATTTGAATAATAATGAAATCGTGCAACCATCAAAGCTTAACATGTTTGAGACTACCGCTCCTAATGACAACTTCAACGATACTAAAAACAAAAATAATTCAGGAAACCAGAAGATTGCAGAGAAGGATGTGGTTAACTCAAATAATATTACAAAAACTCTTCCTATTCCTAAAAGGCCATCACCTACTGTTGATAAATTTCCAACTCCCGGCACTATGGACGTAGTAAAAAATTCAAAATTCTATCGAACCAATATACTGTATATAGAAAGTTCGCCAAAAATCTCTTTTGAAAACTTTTTCGAAGAACCTTTTTTTTCAAAAAATGAAAAGGATCCTGTTTCAAATCCTTTTTCAAAAACTATCGAAATGAATGAACAACAAATTAATGATGGTGAAATTTCAACAGGAACTAATGTAAAATCTTTTAAGAAACCTAATTTGAATTCAAATTTTTGGGATTTTTTAACAAATAAATCTTCGAAAAAACTGGAACAAAGAATAGGCCAAAATCTTACTAAAAACGAAAGCTTTCTTGATGATAACTCAAAAAAATATAAAACTAAAAATGAAATTTATGTAGAAAAACAACAACTTTTAGAGAATAACACAGTTGTATTGATTACACGAGAAGATGCAGTAAGCTCTTCAAGTAAAGAAACTGTCTTTGAGAACAATAGCACAGGTTCTGCTGAAAGAAATTGAAAATCATGAAGACCAGAAAATTTTAGAGAATAGTGTAATTATTGGAAAAAATTCAAATAATAATGCGAATGTCGCATCCATTAGAAATAATAAAATTGGAGACGACGTAACGAATTATTTGAATGATAATGAAACCATACAATCATCAAAGCTTACCATGTTCGAGACTACCGCTCCTAAGGACAAATTAAATAACACAAAAGATGAAACTAATTCAAGAAACCAGAAGATTGCAGAGAAAGACGTGGTTAACTCAGATAATATTACAAATTTTCCGATTGTCTCAAATTACAATTTGAAGATAAATCAACAAACTCCTCCTCCTATTCCTAAAAGGCCATTGTCTACTGTTGGTAAAATTCCAATTCCTGGCACTACGGACGTAGTAAAAATTCAAAGTTCTATCAAACCAATAGATTTTGAAAATTCTAATTCAGATTTGAATTTAACGATCTCGCCAAAAAAATCTTTTGAACACTTATTTAAAACACCGTTTTATCCGAACAATGAAAATGATCCGGTTTCAAAACATTTTCCAGAAACTATCAAAACGAATAAGCAAATTAATGTTAATGAATCGCATTCATTGCAAGAAAAAACGGCTGAGAATTCAAATTCAGATTCGAATTTTGATCTCAAAGGCTTCATATCCTTACCAGATAGAAGGTTCGCCAAAAGATCCTTTTGACATTTTTGATTTTTTTCCGAACAATGCAATAGATTCAGCTTCAAAACCTTTCAGAAATTATCAAAACGAATAAGCAGCAAATGATTATTGATGGATTGCATTCCTTGAAAAAAAAAACAGTCGAAAATTCTAATTCAGATTCGAATTTAACGATCTCAAAGGTTTCACATTCGTACTGGATAGAAAGTTTGCCAAAAATCAATTTTGATGACTTTTTTGAAAAACCCTTTTTTCCGAAAAGTGAAAAGGACTTAGTTTCAAAACCTTTTCCAGAAACTATCGAAACGAATGAGCAACAAATTACTACAACAGAAACTAATGTAAAATCTTTTAAAAAACCTAATTTGGAAAATTTTTTGACAAATAAACCTTCGGAAAAGCTGGAACAAAGAATAGACCAAAATTTTACTGAAAACGAAGAAAAGTCGTTAAAAAAATTGGAGAAACAATTTAAACTGCTTTCCTTGGGAGAAAAATCGACCACAAAAAATAAAAATAAAAATGAGCATCACAAAAATTTATCAATCAATACTGCAAAAATAAAAAATTCTAAGGCTTCGTGTCAAAGATTCGATCAGTCTAGTATGACTTTAGAGAGTTTTGATCCGCTAAGAACCATAACATGCACATCAACAACTGGAATTAAAAAATCATCGAACACTGAGTCAGAATTCCATAATTCCAAAACCAATCCGAGTTCTTTAAATTTACCATTAGGTTTTGAAAAAATCGTAAGCATGTTTTATAATGCTCAAAAAAAAAATGAATACAACTTTTATTCTGAATTTTTTGGAGATTATGCAATAATAGATGGCTTCCCCTCCTCATCTAGTGTACATTCCATAAAGTACCACTTTTCCGCATCAGTTACAATCCCCCATACCCTGTCCATACAATTCTCATCATCGATTTCATCAGCCTTTCGTTTATCGACATGTTAAGGATGATTCCATCTGCACAGTGGCTTGCGCGAAGCCCTGTTTGAAGTCGTCTTTTTTAACCTCGACTAAACCAACAATCCTATTGGTCGAGCGACACTCTATTGCATAATCGAGGTTTCCTTGGCCATTGTGACCCATGATAAGTTTTTCTGGTACGATTTTAAAATTACTTTCATAAAACAACACTCTGCTAGCCAGGTAACAGTAGGAATAGATAGATTTCATTGCTTCATACGCCACGTCAAGAGGAGTTGTTTTTTGACGAAGCCCCAATTCGGCCATTAGATATTTAACCACGTCTTGAGACTTTCCACTTTTTAGGTCCACATATCCGCATAGAAATACAGGGTATACGTCAATACTTGTACTGTATTCGGGTCGTCACTGATCCCATAGAGTTCACACACTTTCGGAAAGGTCCACTTATTAAAGGGCTTTGAGGGGTCTCAATGAATACAGTGAACTTAAGATTATTTTTTGATACTAACAAATGTAGCACCTTCCAGAATGAAGAATCGTTCCTAGGTGAATATCTATTCCCATCACTTATAAAGTTTAATATCGCACCATTATTTTCAAGTGCCGGTGGTTGGTATATTTCACGAATGTAATCTTTGAGACTTTCGAGGGTTGCGTGCTCGATATTTACAGTCTAGTTGAATTATTTGGTCCATTTTGGACTAACAATGACATCAAACTCTGCAAAGAAAGAACTTTTTTAGTAAAACAAGTGTAATAGCATAAATATCTTGAGATGAACTTTTCCAAATATATGTTCAATTTAAGCTCAAATCAGTTTACAAATTTATTTCATGGTAAATAATATAACATGGTAAGTATAAATAAAATAATTTGATTGTTTTTAATTATTTTTTAAACTAATTTAAACTTAATTAAACAAAAGCTTCTGACAAAAATAAAAAATTACTAAGATGTAATATTACAAAGCATTAGAATAGCAATGTTACAAGTTTTTGGTTCAGAATGATTACCATTTTTAAAAAGCAATGCTTTATTAGTTGCTATTATAACATGGAAAAAATCTATAGAAGTGTTTAAATGTTATAATATACTTTTTTAATTAAATAGTGAAGGAATTTATTGAGTAACTTTGATTACAAAGGTAACTTTTTTTAAAGTATCTGTTTCTACTTTAAGCAATAAACATTTCACATTTACCCTTGCTATATATGATATTTTTTGAATCCTCAATTTACTGTAAGAGTATCATTTGTTCTAAAAAGCAAATGAAATGTTGTATAGAGCATTTTCTCATAAGTAATCAATTTACATATGAAAATTTTTTTTAATATAATCTTTTTGGGGATTTCCTCAGTAAGTAAATATTATTTCTTTATTTAATATCATATATAACTAGGTATATATCATGAAAGAAACAATATCTCTTTTATTATTTCAGAAAAGTTAAATACTAGCTTGCCTACTTATCAATATTTAACTAATATTGTAAAAAAATTCAAAATCAATATTTAATGTACTAGATAAGGTTGAGTAGCAGCTATGCTTACTATTCTTGAAAATTTTGAAAATTCTTTTGATTTTTTAGACATAAAAAATTAAAAAAAGAAATAAAAGTAACTATAACTAAAACTAAATTGAATATACTATAAAATTCATACATGTAACAAAAGAACTCCTGAAGGACTTGTGGTTTCAACTCTCTGTCCTTTCAAATACTATATATAATAGAATACATATAATATTGTTTGTTGTTATAGTTGTTAGTAGTAAGTTATTTGTTATTGTTGTTGTAATCATTATTATAATATAAAACTGGCTTGAGCTTATTTGGTATTTGTTTTGATTATTAAACAAAATTTGATTGGATAATTAAAAAGTGCTGATTATTTGAAGGTGGTAAACTGATTTCAGTTTTTTGAATAAAAAATTTTTGGAAATTGGAAATGACACAGCAAATATTGCTACAAAATATTGTGTATAAGAGTTAACTTAAACAAACAGTAGATTTATGAACTTTGTTTAAATGTATGCTTTGAAAAGTATTTGATTTAGCAAGTATAATAATGATGATGTGGATGATTTTTATAATAGAATAAGAAGAGATGCAAGAGAACTGAAGAAAAGAAAATTGCCACAGGTCTTTTTTTATATAACCGAAGAATAAGCAAAACTTCCAAACTTGAGTAAACTTCAACCAGAAATCCCATTTCACTGCACCAGTTGTCTTAAAGGTTCTTAAGTTCCTGAGCTGAGGCTCACTTGTAATAAAGAGAATAAACCATTTTTTTTGCTTAAAATTAACATAAAAAAATTTTTAACAAAATGGATATGATTAGAAGAGAGTTTAAAATATTTTATTTAATATAATCTTTAATATATTTATTAAATAAAAAGATTTTAATAATAGTAGTCCCTTTTTAAATTCTGTCAAAGAAATTTTAAATAATGAATTAGAAAGTGTATTAAATCAAAAGCAATCATAAAAAACTTTAGAACAAGAATAAAAAAAAACAGAATCAAATAGAATGTAGCAAAACAATTCAATTATACTGTTGATAGGGAATCTGCTTGACTAAGGCCTAAGGATCCTAACGATTCTCTTCAATTCTGTATTCAATTCTCAAGTTTATATTAAATTTAATAGGTGGGGTATACTCCACCATCATTTTTAATAGTGTTCCGAACCTCATGCGATTCTGTTCGATTCTATTCGATTCCAATTTTCGGAACCGAACTAAGGCCTGACAACATAATTTTTATTCATATAATTTATCAGAGTAGTGATAACATTCTAGAAAATAGTTATGTGTCATTATAAAAGCTTAGATAGTTTATTTTATAGTTTAATAGTCTATAAGCCAATGTCATAGTCTTATAGCACATTAGTTAGTCATAGAGATAGTAATATAAATAGAAGTGAAAAAAAGTGTTAAAACAAAAAGAATAATCTTAATAAAAAGAGAAATAATAAGACTATTAAAAAGAGTCACTTTGCTAATAAAGGATCTTTTAATTAAAAAACTTACCTTTTTAGTACTTGTCAAGTTAGAAAAGAATAATTGGAATCTATTAAAGGGAACTGTAGAAGAATTATCGAAAGAATGAATGGCGATGGAAAAAAAAAGAATAGTAATTAGTGAAAGAGAAGAAAAAGTAATTGGCCAAAGTCTTACTCACCTCTTTCAAGACAAGAAGTATGGATGAAGAAGGTATAATGAGGAATGGATGCGTAATGTGATCTGCGCGTCACATGTCTAAAACTCAGAAATGCTATGTTGAAAATGAAATAGTTTATATAATAGTCTATTAGTAGGCTTAAAAGTTTAAATCCATGACATCAGTGATAGTCTATTCTAGCATAGCATTAGGCTATAAAGAACAATGTACTTATGTAAAAGAATCAAAATAAAACAAGAAAAAAACTGAACACTCAAAAGTATCATGCTCTATAGTGAGACAACTAATTAAAAATTGCTAAATTAGTAGTGTGATCAACGATGCCAAAGAAGAGAATTTCCAATTAATAAACTTACCTCATTTAGTACCGCTAGCTTGGAAGGAGGATAATCTGAAGGGCTGCGAAAAAATGGTAGCAAAGGTTATTAGTAAAAGCCCAAGAGCAAGAAACAAGAGAAACAATAGTTAATAAAAAACCCGGCCAAGTCAAATCACATGCCTCGAATAAAGAAACCTATTTACCTAAATGTTATGCAAGTGCTGATCCCAAGAAGCGACAGACTCATCAAAAATCACATTCACAGAAGACATAATTTAACCTTGACATATAGCAAGTTCTTGTTGTCACTAGTGATAGGCTTGCCAATTTAACATTAACAATACTTTCACAAGAAAAACAAGATGTGTTATTTGGTGTTGATAAAGATAATAGAGATTAAATTAGAAATTAAATATAAATATTTAATAATATGAAAGAAATTAATTTGCTTTTAATAAAAACAAATCATTTTAATTTAATTGTTACACTGTTAGCCTGGTAAAAGTTACATGGTATAGTCACATACCATGACTATCACGTCGCGTACCCTGGAAATTTAGGATAGCATTAGTAATTAGCAT